TCTGTTGTTGCACTACTTTGCCCTATTGCTGCTGTGTCAACCTGAATTTCTCCTAAGGGGGATCAGATAGATAGATAGATAGATACTTTATTTATCCCGAGGGAAATTCAAGATCAATAAAGGAATATCTTATCTTATCTTAAAGGTTTTATACATAACCTCAAGTAGCTAATACATCCTTTATTTTTTGTCATGAAGGCCCTTTCTTTAGTTTGCTGGCAGATGCATTTCAAGAAGTGGTTCGAAGAGATTCATTTTCTAATTTCATATCCTTGGCACAATTGGCAACAATTGGCTCTCCAGAACTCCAGGGGCCCTGAATAATAGTGTACCTATGCAGCAGTAAAACACAACATAGCCTGACATAAGGGCCTTGAGATGGGTGAAGTAGCATGACAAAATGTAGTTAAAGACCATCATTATTTAAAATCTAATGCGTATTTTGCCTAGATTACGACACAGCAATTTTTGTGCCTATGTGGGAGGAACAGGGGCACAGCTGCGAGCATGTGATGAACATATGTTCTTAGTTTAGATAGATGTGGGAATGTGGTTTGGCACAGGGAAAAAACTTCTGTCTGGTCTGACTCTAACCATCATAATGCTTGCATTGTAGAAACACCACTCAATATTACTCCTCATTAATAACATCTGGTGACCATATTTGACCTACTGCATGTCTGCACTGAGAATTATCGGAGATTATGTTACTGATTTATAGCGATATGCTCATGGAACAGATATTACACCCTTCTTATTCATGCATAACCAAACTGCATGTCTGCAAACCCCCCTAGATATCCAGTATTTCACATTTACACTGTTGTAATGTGATTGGAATTTAATGGCTGAGTTGTAGTTAATGTTTTATCAGACAAATAAGAATCATTTATATGCAAGCATTAATGAAAGACAGACACGTTTTCATATGACAACTTTATTTGTAGTGAATCACAAGGGTTATCTAATGTATGCTAAAGTTTGATTCTAGCAATGACACTATGTTTGTTCCTTGGTTACTTTTGTGGATATTCCTTTTTATAATTTTTCGTTTTGGCATTGATGTCTTGAACTTCACATAATTCATCTTCAAGCATCATCTTCGGCCTCCTCCTCAAATTCACCCTCTTCTTCAGCAGTGGCATCCTGGTACTGCTGGTACTCAGACACCAGATCATTCATGTTGCTCTCTGCTTCAGTGAACTCCATCTCATCCATACCTTCACCTGTGTACCAATGCAAGAAGGCCTTACGACGGAACATGGCTGTGAACTGCTCAGAGATGCGCTTGAACAGCTCCTGGATGGCTGTGCTGTTGCCGATGAAAGTAACAGCCATCTTGAGGCCACGGGGTGGAATGTCACAGACGGCGGTCTTGACATTGTTGGGGATCCATTCGACAAAGTAGCTGCTGTTTTTGTTCTGGACGTTGAGCATCTGCTCATCAACTTCTTTCATGGACATGCGCCCACGGAATACTGCGGCGACGGTCAGATAGCGGCCGTGACGTGGGTCACATGCAGCCATCATATTCTTGGCATCGAACACTTGCTGGGTGAGCTCAGGGACTGTGAGGGCTCGGTACTGCTGGCTGCCTCTGCTGGTTAGGGGAGCAAAGCCAGGCATGAAGAAGTGTAAACGGGGGAAAGGCACCATGTTGACAGCCAGTTTGCGGAGATCAGCATTAAGCTGACCAGGGAAGCGCAGGCAAGTGGTGACCCCACTCATGGTGGCGGATACCAGGTGGTTCAGATCTCCGTAGGTGGGTGTGGTGAGTTTCAGAGTGCGGAAGCAGATGTCGTACAGAGCTTCATTGTCAATGCAGTAGGTTTCATCTGTGTTCTCTACAAGTTGGTGGACTGACAAGGTGGCATTGTAAGGCTCAACCACTGTGTCTGAAACCTGAAGACAGAAAACACACAGAATCTTTATTTCAGTCTCATGATCTTAGAGGAAAAAACCCAAGGCAAGAGAAACTAAAATTAAAACTCAAAGTTCTTATTTACTGTCACATGGGTAGGTTACCTTGGGGGAAGGCACCACACTGAAGGTGTTCATGATACGGTCGGGGTACTCTTCACGGATCTTGCTGATGAGCAGGGTTCCCATACCGGATCCAGTTCCACCACCAAGTGAGTGGGTGAGCTGGAAGCCCTGCAGGCAGTCACAGCTCTCTGACTCTTTGCGGACCACATCCAGGACTGAGTCCACCAACTCAGCTCCTTCTGTGTAGTGACCCTTGGCCCAGTTGTTTCCAGCACCACTCTGACCTGGAGGGGAAGAAATTACATACAGGTGAGCCATTTATTCCTCCTGTTCACAATGGGCTTTAGTCATTTAGTAATGTGAGAATTTGTTCTACCCACCAAACACAAAATTGTCGGGTCTGAAGATCTGCCCAAAGGGTCCAGACCTCACGGAGTCCATGGTGCCAGGCTCCAAGTCCACCAGAATGGCTCGAGGAACATATTTACCTCCTCCGCAAGAAAGAGAACGGGAGAATATGGGGAGAGAGAAAGAGGGAGAAGGGGAAAGAAAACATACCAACTCAATAATGCAGAAAACCACAGTCTTGGATGTTACACAGGATACATAATGTGACAAAGTCCAGGCATGACAGGAGAAGAAACATGTCTTAAAGGTTGTAAATTCAAGATTTAAACATTTATATAGCAACAAACAACGATTTTCTATGTAACGATGTAGTGGAGTAATTAGCAGAGACACTGTGTGTGTTGTTCCTCGAGCTCGTCTGTGCTTATGTCGGCTGTGTGTGCATGTTAGCATATGTGAGTCCCTCTGTGTGCAACAGTTGGCTTTGTTTTTTCATCTAACGCAGAGAGTTACAGATTTATTTTGACCAAACCAGAGACAGTGATTGTTGGAGCAGTGGAATGACTAACAAAGATTTCCATAATGTTGTCAGACTCTTTGAATAACAATCTTTTGGTGGACGTACTTTCAAAGGCGCATTTGCCCCCACAGATTATGTTTCCATCAATGAAGCCCATTTTGCGAATATTTTCACATCTTACTCTGTGAATCAGGGTTTTTTACAACTAAACCAGCATTGGTAATTGTTGGAACATTGGAAAGACTAACAAAGAAGGTTTTAGTGAGTTTTATTTCTCTGTCCCATTTGAAGTATGATATATGATTATCTGCGAGGTAAAATTACTGACTTCATTACTTAATAAAGTCTGGTGGCCAGTAGCGCCAATTTGGTTTGGTCTGAGATGCTGGTGCTCTGGTACGACATCTAGAGACAGTGAATTTTGTATATAACTGTTAAGTTATACTTTAGAATAAAATGGTAAAGCTGAACATCCGTTCATATAAGAATTTTTTATTATTATTCATGTACAAATCAGTTGCTATAAAGTCAACTAACCTGTTGCCTCATTATAGTAGACACTGATCCTGTCCAGCTGCAGGTCACTGTCTCCGTGGTAAGTCCCTGTGGGATCGATGCCATGCTCATCGCTGATCACTTCCCAGAACTGCAGAAACAAAATGGAAGGTATCACATGACAGTTACTTGCAAAGAAAGCATGCACCTATCCATTAGCAATGCGGTTTATGGGTCTAGGGACTTTAAATGAGGAAAACAGCAGTGGGTTTGCATTTTTGGATTCCGTTGAAAATGACATGATTTTTCCCCCTTTCAGAAAGTCAAAACTTAACCCATTTAATACAATGCAGCTGTTAATATTTCCATAGTCACTGACTGATGACTTAGCAGAATGCAATTCCTTTAGATGTAAAATACAAAGAAGGGAGCACAAAGGGGCTACAGATTGCTCTACAGGCAAAACTGAGAATAAACTCCATTTGCAGGCTGTCACACTACACTGAAGACGCTGATTGTCTTCAGA